CCCCGCGGACCTCCCGTGGGATGGGTTCTGGCCATGCTTTCGGAGCGGATCCAGACGTGGCCACGAGGGCGCGCCATGGGGGTCGAACGAGCTCCCAGGCAAACGACAACCCTCGACCCACGATCCTGGATCGCTGCTCCTCCCCCCTGTTCGGGGAGGAAGAAGTCCGCGGAGGCCCGGGGCGGGCAGACACGAGGCGTCCGAAAGCCTGGCTCGCCGAGCTCGGCGTCTCCCCCTCCCCCCCCCCCCCCCAGGAGGTCTGCCCCTCTCGGGCGGCGGCGCCCCCGGGGGGCAGCTCAGCCCGACTTGAAGAGCAGGATGGCGACCTGGCTCGGCGGTGGACAAGACTCCCTTTCGTAAACCTCCCCTTCGTGCAAAACGGCCTGGGACCGGAACCGACGGACCTGGACCCGCAAACATATGAGGGCCGCGGCGCCCTCTCGCGAAGCGAAAACGGCCGATTCCTTAATCGACGTGTCAGGGGTAGGAGGTCTATCCGCTTCCGACTGGCCGAGGATGGAGAAGACGCGGAGGGAGGGGCAACTTGTCTGAGGGGTCTACGAACCCGGTATGGAGCATGGGTCAGGCTTTCTTCAGACACGTCTGTTGTACGCTCGCGTCGGCACGCTGCGGTATGCTACTCAATACCATGCTGTGCGATGCTGGGAAGCATGCTGTGCTACGCCATGTAAGGCGGCCGCGCGCAAATGCGCACGCGCCAGACGCATGTTGGAGACTCCAACTCCGCGCACGTCTGTTCACGTGCGAAGAATCCGCCGACCACATGTTGGATACCCCGCTTCGCGACTGCACACGTGAAAGCACGTCCCAAATCCGAACCCACAAGAAGTATGTTGGATCCCCCCCCCTCCGCGCATGCATTCCTGCGCGGGGAGAGTCCGGCGCCACCTGCTCGACACCCCTCTGGTCAAGGGCCAAAGACCCGCCCGCCCAAGAAAAGAATCCTGGGCTGGAGCCCTTGCAGGGATTTGATGCCTGCCCCCACCCGCGCCTGCACTGAAGTCGGGCCCGTCCCCCTACAGGGGGATTTTCGGGGACAAATTAATCATTTTCATAAATACTCAAAGATGGTCAAACATATTCAAAAAGTCGTCCCCAGACTATGTTTGGACTATTTTTGAATATTCCTCCTGTAGAGGGACAGGCCCGACTTAACCTTATAGGGATTGAACGCCTGTTACAGGGATTAAACGCCTGCCCCAAAAATGCCCCAAACAATACTCACAAATGCCCCCAAAATAATCAAGCATGCCCAACAAATAATCAAACATACACAAAAAAGAATCCTGGGCTGGAGCCCTTGCAGGGATTTCAGGCCTGCCCCCACCCGCGCCTGCACGCGCAAAGACACACGCACCCCAGCGCTCACGGATCCCAGACGCCGCGTGTTGATGCTGGACCCCCCCCCGCTGGCGCCTGCAGGCGCGAAGAAATCCCAACACACGCACGCGCCAGACACGTCTCGGAACCCCCCCGCCGCGCACACATCTTCACCTGCGAAGAGTCCGTCGACCACGGGCTGGATACCGCCCTTGTCGCGGTGAGGGGGCCACACGCGAAGCCTACCCCCACCCCCCACGATTTCTGAGGAGGAAAGTGGGGTAAACTTCGCTCGGGAGCTCCCAAGCGAAGTGAACCCCACCCTCCCCCTCAGGAATCGTGGGGGGTACGGGTAGGGTTCGCATGCGGTCCCCTAGCGGTTGCACACGTGAAAACACGTCCCACACGCGCACGAGCCAGACGTTCGTTGGACAACCGCATTCGCACATGCACTCTCGCGTGCAGAATCCGACGCCACGGGCTCAACGCCCCCACCCCGATCTCGGGCCAAAGGCCCGCCCACTCGAACAGAACCCTGGGCCAGATCCCTTCCCAGGAGAGGGCGGGAAAGGGGGGAGACGGACGAAAGAGGAGAAGGATCGAAGAGGAATGGGATCCAGGATTGAGGAACGAACTCGCCCCTGGACCACCCCCCTTTGTCTGCATGGCTTCCCTCATGGCCGAATCTGGATCCGCCTCGACATTCTGCAGCGCACACCAGGACAAGTCTGGGGGCCCGTTGTGAAAAAGAGGAGGGGGAGGAGGAGGAGGAGGAGGAGGAGGAGGAGGAGGAGGAGGAGGAGGAGGCGGAAGAAGTGGAGGAGGATGCAGGAGGGAGGGGGGAGGGGACACGGGATTTGTTCACATGAAATGCGAGGCTGAGGTGATTAGCGCCACGGGACGGGCTCGACCGTCACGTCATTCTTCGTTGGGTGACGTCCCTTGCAGATCTGATAAAGGCACCAGGTGTGCTCAGGCGTAGGCTTGCCACACTCTTGGGACAAGCCTCGAACGTGGCCAAGGGTGGCATAATAATGACACTTCAAGCGAGCTGCAATGATCCGAAACCAAACGCGACACTGCCTCGTGATTCAGAGCCCTGAGAGAGGGGCCGTCCAGCTTCGAAACGTCAGGGCAGACCCCAAGGGCAGGATATTCATCAAACTCGCTTCCCTCACGCGCCGCCAAACAAGGGCTGACAGCGCCAAAAAACAGAACGTAAACTGATCTGAACGTACAACCAGGCATGTGGGGGACCCTTTGGAGCCACAGACAGGGGCCTGAGGAAAAGCAGCACAGGGGCACTCGGAGAGGTCCAGACGGGGCCACAACGGGAGCACGTTGACCAGAGCACAGACCGCCTGAGACACTCTCATCTGCCGAGTGTGCACCTCCTTATCTTGATCTGACGCCTGCGGGTGCAAGGACGTCCCCAAATTGGCGGCCTTGTCATCCTCGTCATTGCCCACCCTCAGCCAGCGATCGCTGTCTGACATACCCGCCTCCACAAATCAAAGTGAACTTTGGTCTTCACGGCCGAATCCACCAACCTCCGCCCGAACCCGAACATCATCACCAGCCCAACAAAGGGCCTTTTATATCTAAGCTGAGCACTGCACGGGCTAGAGCCCTGACTAACTACATTGGCGTGTCCGGCAAATGTGCTACCGGAAAGGGGGGCTCGTCCCAAAACATCTGGGCCTGGACCAGGCCGTCTTTCGATGCAGGGCGGGGGAACATAAACATATCTGCAGGATGCGGAAACAAATCCGTCTGCAACAAAAACATCACATCCAGAAAGTCAGACGTATCCACGTCAGCGGCTCACCTCAGGAAATCTGTTTTGACCACCTCTCCACAGATGGAAGAGAGACGCAGGGGCAGAGCCGCAGACGACGGTACACCACGTCGACCTGGCCGGCCACAGCGCGGGCAGACAGTCGGGACCTGGCAGCCCGCCTTCTCAGCCCGGTCGTACGCCCACAGCGCCGCGCACACCAAGCTCTTGTTGGAGCCCTCGCCTCCTATCGAATACCTTGGACGACCTCGAGCGGTCGCGAGCCACGTCGAGAGGCAGAGCCTGGAGCACGCAACCTCGGCCCTACGGGCAGCCTCACGCTCCAGACTTCTTCTAAAACGAGGCGGCGCGCAGCCTGCGCTTCGGCATGGCGGGCGAGACAGATGTCAGGATGAGTGTCTCTTCGAAAGCATGGGCACGCGTAACGTAGACAGTCATGCTCCCTATGATCCGCTGCAAAGGGAGACGGAAGGCCGAACTCGGCCCAAACACGTTGCGCCACGAGGGAATCAGTCCGGAAGGCAGTGCATTCCAGCCGCCCCGCAGCTGGGCCCAACTGAGAGAAAGGGTACGAGTGCGTCTGCAGCGCAGGGTGGGAGACAGCACCTAGCCAATTAGGCCGTTGTGGCAGATCACGGCAGACGTCAACGACGAACGCCCCGAGCCCCAGGGCGAAGAGAGGAACACTATGAGACGTGAGAGGAGGCAAGGGGGCATGAAAAGGAAAAGGAGGATGAGGGGGAGAAGGAAAAGAAGGACACCTAAGGACGAGCATCAGGAAGCGACGGAGGAGCAAGGGAGAACGGAGCGGACGGCTGCGTCCGACAGGACATCGAGCCGAAAAAAAAAAAACAAAAAAAAAAAAAAAAAAAAAAAAAAAGGGAGAACGGATCAGGGAGGAGATGAGGGGGTGGAGAAGAAAGGGCGAAGGGAGGGGAAAGGAACTAGGCTCGAGGAGTGACCTGGCCCAAGTAAAAATTGCTGGATCTAAATAAAATGATTAAAAATAAAATAAAAATCCAATTTTCTTTTCTTATTCTTTGCAATCATGCTATCCAATTTGCAATTTTCTTATTCCAATGTGCTGCGAAGGAAGAACGGATCAGGGAGGAGTGACCTGGCCCAAGTAAAAATAGATGAAGTGTTTCGTCTCGTGCGTCACGTACGAGCCAAAATTACGGCCCACGATGGCGTGCCAAGTCGGGTTGTACTTCTTGTCGAACTCTTTCTTGATGAACGCTGCGATGTCCTTCTCGATGTTGTATTTCTCCAGCGCCTGCGTCGCGCAGTCGATCGCGTCCTGCTGCATGTCCTCGGCCATGTCGGCGTTCTTGATGACTGCTTTGCGGTCCGCCATCGCTCCGAACCCTTGGCGACGTCAAAGGAACGGCAGCACCTTCCTGCAGGCTCCAGCAGCTATGACGGGACCTGTAGGCTAAAGAAGCCTGGAGCAACATTGCCGCGGGGAAGGGCACGGGAGCAGCGAAGGAAGGCACACGATGGTGAAGGGGCCCTGGGACACACAAATAAATACACACAAATAACAGGATTCCCTACATCTTCCCATATTTTCTGGGCTTTTGTTTCCCCCCCCCACTTCCCAGATTCTCCCACACCCTACATCTTCCCATATTTTCTGGGCTTTTGTCTCCCCCCCCACTTCCCAGATTCTCCCACATTTCCTGGGGAAGCGACGATGAATCGTGTCTGTGTGTTTTTTCCCCTCCCGAGCTGGTGGGGGAGCGGCGAGCGAGCCGCAGGGCGAGCACGCGAACACACCCCCACGGAGCGTGAGAGTGCCCGAGGCGGCGGAGCGCGCGCGAGAAGCCTGGAGAGAAGGGCGGGGGCGCCCCGGGCCAGGCCGCTCCCCAGGGAAGGCCCCCCCGGGGCCTGCCAGGGAGGCCTCGGGGGGCCGCTCCGGGAGGACGGAGGAGGACGGAGGAGGAGGAGGAGGAGGAGGAGGAGGAGGAGGAGGAGGAGGAGGAGGAGGACGGAGGAGGACGGAGGAGGACGGAGGACGGAGGAGGAGGAGGAGGCCTCTGGAGCCCTCCGGCGGCCTCCGGAGCCCCCCGCAGGCTTTCCGGAGGGAGGCTCGCCTCCGGCGGCCCTCCAGCGGCCTCTGCGGGCGGCTTCCCTAGAGGCCCGCCGGAGGCCTCGGGAGGGTGGGCGCCTGGCGCGCTCGGCCATCGGGGCCGTCGCGCCACGGGGAGGGGCAGCTCACGTCGAGGCGGGGCCTCCGGGAGAGGGACGCGGTGAAACATTTGCCCCCTGTGTTCCCCTCCCCTCCCATGGCCCCAGGCCGATCGGGAGGCAGAAACGGGCAAAGCAGGAACCTTTTAGCCCGCCTCCCCGATGGAGCCTCGCCGGCGGGGATCGAACACACGGCTGATCCTGTCGATCGCCGCAAGCTGGTTTCGCCTAGTGCACAGGACCTCTGACAGTGGCAACTCATGGGAGCCTCCTATACCATCTTGTCCGCTCTTGCGAGTCGACGCTAAATCGACGCTAGTCGACGCTTATCGGCACTAGCAGACGCTAAATCGGCGCTATCTGATCGACTCCAAACGCCAATCGACGGAATCGACGCTGAAGACGCCAATCGACGCCAAAGACCAAACTCCCATGATTTGCGACCGATCTCGGAACCTCTGAGAGCCCTTGGCACGGAACGGAATTTCCCAGGAGTCCGCACCGAGTTCCGCGAGCTGCGGTAGCCAGCGCACTTACATGAGTATCGCTTAACCGATCCCCATCCCCAGCGGCGTGGCCTGGGCACCACTGGTCGACTCACCCCCCTGGATGGGGATGTAGGTCGATCCCTTCGGGTTTCGAGGGGTGTGTATCCCCAACTGGGGTGGTAACTTGGTGGGGGTCTCGAGGGAGATGGGAATGGGGATGAGGGTCGGTTCAACGATACTGAGGATACAGGAGGAGCTCGACCACAGGAGACCTTCCACAAGAAACCCAACCCTGAGACCCCAGGACATCCATTGATTGCTGGTGTGGGAACGTCACGCTTCCCGTAGCAACACCATCGAAACCCAAGACACCCAGGGGCACCCTGGAGGCAAGCAGGGTTTCTTGGCATGGGGATCGGTTCAACGGTGCCGACCTACGGCGGCCCCCCCTCGCCATTTCGAGAGGCGAGCGCCCCGCGGGCCCGCGGGCGCGGGCGGGGGCCCTCCGCGGTGAAGGGAGGTGGCCCTCCAGCCGTCGAGCTGCATGCGGGGCCCACTCTCCACCACCACCACCACCACCACCACCACCACCACCACCACCACAGGGAGGTAGGTAGACAGGGAGGCAGGTAGGTAGGCAGGCAGGTAGGTAGGCAGGTAGGTAGGCAGGCAGGCAGGTAGGTAGGTCGGTAGGTAGGTAGGTCGGTAGGTGGGAGAAGGAGGAGGAGGAGGAGGAGGAGGAGGAGGAGGAGGAGGAGGAGGAGCAGGAGGCGGAGGCGGAGGCGGAGGCGGAGGCGGAGGCGGAGGCGGAGGCGGAGGAGGAGGAGGAGGAGAAGGAGGACCTCCTCATCCCTCCTTCTCCCCCGTCCCACATATGGTAGCGGTGGTGGAACATTGGCCAATCACTACAAGGCATGCGGCAAGGTGAGTGTTGGCAGGGTGGGTTCTGCCACGAAGAAAAATTGCCCAGCCACAGCCGCGCTGTGACGATGAGCCGCCTCGCATCCGTGCACCTGCTGCATAGTTCTTTACCTAGGCTCTGCCTAGACGGGTTCTTACTGTCTTGGCTTAAAGGGGCCGGGCAGTGTAAACCGCCCCGGGCGGTTCCCCCGGTCCCCTGGGAGCCAAGCAAAAGCAACAGCAAAGGTAAAAGCAAACGCGCGGTTTCCCCAGTTGCGCTCCCTGGGTGCCAAGCAAAAGCAAAAGCAAAGGCAAAAGTGAAGGCAAAAGAAAAGGCAAAGCAAACGCATAGCATAGCATAGCATAGCATAGCATAGCATAGCGCAGCATTGCATAGCGCAGCATAGCATAGCATAGCATTGCCTAGCCTAGGCCAGCATAGCATTGCGCAGCATAGCATAGCATAGTATAGCATAGCATAGCATCGCAGAGCATAGCGCAGCACAGCATCCACTATTGCTGCTGCTATATATATGTATATACACACATGTGTACATGCATCTATATATACAAGTGGCACGTGTGTGCCCAGGCTCATACAACAAACTGAAGGGGCGTTTGAAGCAGGAGTGAAATGCAATATCGAAGTCGCACTCGAGCGCAAGTGGGGTTGCCACACCTTGCGATGTGTGTACCAGGCCCCCAGGAAACCTTAGGAGGCCCGACTTGGATACCAGGAGAGGCTCCAGGAGGCCCCAGGATTGTGAGTGTGCGTGTGTGTGTGTGTGTGTGTGTTTGTGATGTATGTTTCGTGTGGTGCGTGCTTTTTGTGTGTTGTAGGTGTTGTGTGTGTTATGGTTGTCTAGCGTGTGATGTGTTGGGCGTGATTTGTGTCTCTGTGTGCATGTAGTTCTGAAGCCCCAGGAGGCCCCAGGAGGCCCCAGGCGGCCTCAGGAGGCCCCAGGAGACCCCAGGAGGCTTCAGGAGGCCCCAAGAGGCTCCAGGAGGCCGCAGGAGGCCCCAGGAGGCCCCAGGAGGTTTCAGGACACCCCCAGGAGGCTCCGAGGCGGGGTCTGGGGTGCCAGAAGGTTCAGAAAGCCCCAGGAGGCCCCAGGAGGTTCCAGGAGGCCCCCAGGAGGCTCCGAGGCGGGGTCTGGGGCTCGATTTTGGAAGGATTTTTCAAGCGAAACAGACATTCACTGAGAATCGGGGTCACAATTATTGAAATTACAATGTGTTTTTGAAGGTTTTATGTTAAAATGTTGAATTTCCCATGTGTTTTTGGACCCTGACGTCGCGATCTGCGTGAGGGGTGCCACCGATTTTCAGAATTTCGAGGATGTCCCGAGCGAAACGCCCAGAAAAATCGCGGACGCGTGCGCACTGATCGCCTCTGAGCTCTACTCCCTCGGAGAGGTGCGTATGAGAATATATATATATATATATATATATATAATATATATATATAATAATATATATATATAGTGTGTGTGTGTGTGTGTGTGTGTGTGGGTGCGCGCACGTGTGTTCCATGCATGCTGTCCGTCTGTGGGCCATCTTGAGCCCTTAGTGGGGCAGCTTGAACCCTTAGGATTCACGAAGGTTTCGCACATAGCACCGGCCGGGAGACATGACACCCGACGTATTATCGCATGTCCTAAATGTCTTTCTATATATATATATATATATATATAGATGTACAGATGCAAACAACAACAACAACAATAACAACAACAACAACAACAACAACAACAACAATCATTTAAGACTGGGGACACTCCGTTCTCACCAGTGCCAGGGTTTTCATAGGAGGCGGGCAATACCCCCACTTTGTGGGGGGGCCGGTTCAAGCTCTACCAAATTTCCAAACGACTCTTCGCCACCACCCACACCCAGCTTCCCGCCCTATGACGTTCGGACACTTCACTTCGTGGCCTGCGGACGACCTTGGCTACTACACTGGCGCATGGTTACAATGACTTCTTGTGGTAACATCTTGTGGAAACTAGCTTAGTATACGACTTATACCCCTGTTCCAACAATGGGCACGTGTACCGTTTTCCGACGTTTTAACGTTTCTGTACCACACAAGCCAAGACCCTTATTTTGACTGGTATCACGTGCGTGGCGCCAGCATACCACAGGACTTGTTTCCGTTGTTGTGAGACGATATATGCTCATTCTTGTTCTGTGGTTCTCGTTCCGGCCTCAATGTGCAATACTGGCTCACTCGTCGACGAAATACACGTGACTACCTCTCTCTGGTTGGAGGTCCTGATGGTTGTGGTTGTCCCGATAATTGTCGCGATGAGTGTCCCGATGATTGTCCCGATTGTTGTTCCGATGGTTCTCCCGATGGTTGCCCCGATGGTGGTCCCGATCGTTGTCCCGATGGATGTCCCGATGGTTGTCCCGATGGTTGTCCTGATGGTTGTGGTTGCAACCTATGGCGCAACCAATAGGGGGGCGTTTTATTCTCGGCGGCCGAGGGCGCAACCTATGGCGCAACCGCAAGGGATTCTGGCCCCTGGCAGGCGCGCGAACCCCGTTGCAAGAGCGTGCGAAAGTAGCTCGCGCGAGCTCATGTAACATAAATGTTGGAAAACCATTGGTTTTTTTAGGATTCGGACAGCGCGCGCGGGTGGAAATTTTGAAAAGTCGTGCAGGTGTTTTTCGAGGACCTACGGTGCGATTCGTGTGATTTTATGATGCGCGGTGCTAAAATTCTTAAGAAGCCCAATGGTTTTTGGAGATTTCGGCGTGCGCGCGCGAAGAAAAAACGAATGTGTCCCGCATGGTATTATTTGACAGGGATGATGGCCCTGGCAGGTGTGCAACCGTTGTCGCAGAAGTTCGAAAAAGTTGCTCGCAAAA